CTATTTTAATGGTGATCCTGAGTTGCAGTATCTAAAATTTTTTATTTTATATACTTGCCTAATGTCAATCAAATTTAATTTAAGTAACTTATGGAAGTTTATTTTATAAATTGCCTATCTTGACACTATTATGTTTTATATGAATATTCTAATTTATTTCAGTCATCTCCTTAAAAGATTGAAACACTTTTTAAATTTGCTGCTTAATTACCAGACCAACTGTTCATATGCTTTTGCCCTAATTTTCATTCAGTATCAAAAATGTTTATAGGGTAAAACACTTAAGTATGATAGTCAAATGTATGCAATAAAAGCCCAACTTGTATGAAGAAATTAAACAGTCATTTTACCTTTAATTTTCAAAGTAAAATGCCACTTTTTAAAATCAAATTCCTTAAACCTTAGTACAAACTTTAAACCCAAATCCGTAAGATCATGAAATCCTATACCCCTTAAATGGGATATGCTGATTTCAATCAGACCCCTGGAAATTTGGACTATAATATTTCTAACCTAACAATCTTTCTCTTTTGTACATTTCTATCTAGTACTTGTTACTGCTTTTTGTAAGACTGATTCTCAGATAACTAAAATGCAGAAGTAATGATTGAAATTTTGAATGTGCCAGGTTTTCTGGCACATTCTTTCTGTCTGTGATCACTAGTCCATGAACAATAAAATAGGGATATGTCAACAAGGTGTCTTTGATGTTCCTCAATTGAATGTGAATTTGTTTGCGATCCATCTTGAATTACAGGGCCTCAAACATTGATCTCAGTGGAGTGGAAGTTGGAGAGCTTCATTAATTTCCTTATATTATTGACCATCCTATAAGAATGCTTTTATTGCCCTAACCGGTTTGGCTCAGTGGATAGAGCGTCGGCCTGTGGACTCAAGGGTCCCAGGTTCGATTCCGGTCAAGGGCATGTACCTTGGTTGCAGGCACAGACGCAGTAGGGAGTGTGCAGGAGGCAGCCGATTGATGTTTCTCTTTCATCTATGTTTCTAACGCTATACCTCTCCCCTCCTCTCTGTAAAAAATCAATAAAATATATATTTTTTAAAAAGAATGCTTTTATTGTTTGAATCTTCTGGAAGGTGACATCTTTCCTACCTTTTGAAGTTTTTATCAAGGTGGACAGGAGCCTAAGTCCAGAATAAAAAGTAACACCTGACCCTTGTTTGAATCCCTAATTATTTGTTGGGAAATTGTAATTTTTGTTTTAATCTAGCAAGGGAGGAAAGAGGAGAAGAGACAGGATGGGTGTTGGAAGGTAAGTCACTGATGAATTAAAAATAAGACTTTAAGTCTAAAATTTATTTTCTGGTATATTGTACTCATCAGCATTTATTTCTCTGAGCGTCAATCAATCCTGACATGAACCCATCATACCATCAGCTTCACACCGATTTCCATGGATGCCACTGAAGAACCTGAAGCCTTCGGCACAGTAACACTCATAACTTCCTTTAGTGTTTTGGCAGTGCTGTGGACACGTCGCAAATTGCTCACACTCGTTGATGTCTGTAGGAAAAATAAAACCAAATATGCAACATCTGCTCCCATCCATTCTTTAGAAACCCTGCTTCTTTTAAAAATCCATATTCACAAACAATGAGGACTGAAAAGACTGCAGATGAAAACAACAAGCAGATACCAACGTTTGTAGAGCACTTTCCATATTTCTCCTATTTAATCATCCAGAAAGACTCTATGAGGTATGGATTGTTATTAAACCCAAAGTCTCAAAGCTGGTAAGCACAGGTTTTAAACTGAAGCAGAAAAAACGTTTCCCTTTGGGGAAGGAGAAGTTGTCATCACCACTTCCCCTTCTGCCAACTAACTTCAGAAATGGGAGTAATTGATTTGGTTTTTCAATTGAGTTCTTAAGCTTCAGCTTCCAAAATAACTCTTCCAGTCATCTGAGTATGGCACTTCATGTGTTAGAAACAGTAAATTCAAATAATAAAAGAAACTTAAAATCATACTCATAACTTAATAGCTTGAAGAGTTATCTTCTGACGATACCTTTAAACTCATTCATGTCTGACCTAAGTAGGTGTGTAATATATATGTTGTTCGATTTAAGATAAAAAATTAAGACGTGTGCTTGTTAAAATAATTTGATCTCACATAGTGATACGATAAACAGCCATCATCACTGACGCATTCATAAATCATATCAATTTCACAGATATTACTGAGGATGAGCTATCTGCCTAGCGCCCTGCTAGGCACTAAGATAGTATAGAAAAAAGCACTTGGATCCTGAATTTTTGTGTGTTTTCTCACAACCCAAAAATTTAATGAGGAAAATATATCTTGATATTTGTCATCTATGGCTATATATATTTAATTACTTTATAACATATAACCAGATTGAGAAGGGATCACCACACCTAACAGTAAAATTACTGGTGCACCTGAGTACTTTAATGAGCTAGAACAATGAGTTTAGTCCCATTCAGGGAATTAAATGGTGGTTTAATAATAGAGAATGAGTGAAGAACATAAAAAGGATAAGGTTCTCCTAATAGGAATTGGAGGAAATATATTCTACCATCACAGGAGTTTCTGTCTGAAATACTGGCTTTGAACCCAGGTCTACAGGAGCAGATAAATCCTCCTTCACTTAATTGGGTACAATTTTGTTCACATAGATTTTCAGCACATGATCTTTCTTTTCCTTTATCTGAAAAACAAAATCACAATATTACAAATGGAAGGTATAAACCAGACCAATCACAACTATTCATTGCTAAATAAGTGTTAGCCAGAGCACAATAAAATACATGTTAGTCATATGTATGCTAATATAACAATAAATTGGTATACATGGAGAGGAATTTTGCCATATGTATATATCAAGGATTTCAAAATCTTCATACTTTTACCCAGTTATTCCACATTAATAAATTTTTCTCTCAAGAAGAAAAAAAACATATGCACTATGATTTATGTTTAAGGATTACAAAATTATTTATAATGAGAAAATTTTGAAGGCAACTTGAATGTTCATTTAACAATAGGGAATAAATTATGGTATACTGTATTTTATCGAATCTAAGGTACCTCTAGTGCACCATTATTTTATGCAACCCTAAAATAGAAAAGATCTGGGACTTACACTACGGCATGTTATCAGTTGTAAGATGTATCCTGGTTTCAGAGATATTAACAGTGAAACTAAACATGCATTTTAGAATCAATGTTTATTATTTATGATTATCTACAAAATTGATTGTAATGTAATCATTAAAATTCATGGTTTCAAATGATACTTTTGACCTGGGAAATATCTATAGTAAAAATGGATAAAAAGATTGTAATATTATTTAGTATAAAATATTTCTTTAAAATTTTTAAATATTAAGAAATACTTTTTTGCACATGTTCACAAAAGTACAATAAATTTGGAGATTAGCTCTCTCTTAATGATATGATTCACGTGATTTTTACTTTTGATTGTTGATATATTTTCTGGATTTTATAACTTTCATAATAAAGATAATCATCTAATAGTTTATCTTTGTAGGGCCCATATGAAT